GTATGAAGTTTTTCACGTGGTCACACTTTCAAAGCCACCTTTCATTAATTATTCATTTTCCTTCTTTTGCTTCATGCGGACTTCATAATGCAGATATTATACCCAGTAATATCATTGGCTGATTGATACCAGAGGGATATTTTTTGTTCCTAAGTTAGCATGCCGTTCCTGTTATTACTAGCAGCAACTATTATGATCTATTTTAAATAATCCATTAAAAGGGATATAGGACTGAAAAAAAAACAAAAAACTGGGTTGTCCCCATTGATCAGAAGAAATGAAATCAGGATCAACTTTCCTTTCTAAACACTTTGATTTTGCTGTATGTAGGAAATAGCTCTCTGGAGTGTTCTTAGAAAGGTACTTGGGTGATATGGGTATAAGTAGAAGATGAAGCTTCTCAGCAGGGTTCAATAGTGGTAGATAACATGGGTTTGAGGGGCAGGGATGGACATTTGAAAGGACGGTGTGGCATATACTTTACAGACCAAATAGAACCTCTACAGTTTAATGATTTTTTTTTCTGTACTCTGAAAGACATGAAGTTGCTTTAGACCTCATAGTCCCAAGGGCAAGACAGAACTTAACTCTGCAGATCTGTAATGTGACGTGCAATTAATGCTCTATGAGCCGTTTGCCAGAAAAGAGTTCAATGGTCATCAATTAAAACACTGTGATGATAATTTCAATTACTAGCTAATTTCTAGATTTGAGAATATACTTTATTTTATAAGTATGATTACATTCCTTTCTGAGTCCTCATAAGAGCTGAGAGTAGAAATCTTTGGCCCTTGACTATTCAACAGGCCCACTCTGCTATAGGAAGGAACAACTGGACAGGGAAACATGATTTCTCAGGAGTGTTGTTTGGAAAGAGGAGTCCATTTTTAAAAGTGATACAGTGGTAAATTAACAAATAGCTGGCCTAATAATTTATTAGAGGCTTTGTTACATTTAATCAAGAAGGAGTCACTGAGGTCACTTTTTAAATGAAGCAATAAAGTTAAAAAAAAGACTTTCAAAGAAACCCAACACAAAGAAATCTGAAAGGCATGCTATGTCATCTCTTTGGTCCTACCAGCTGGCTTTAACAGCACTGAGGTGGGCAGGACAGATGTCTGTGGAGGTATGGAAAGTAAGGTCAAGCCACCGAACTTAACCCCAAATTCAGCACAATCTGAAATTTTGAGAAAGTAGAAAGAAAAAAGGACACATTCTATTGTGTCAGCTTTGTTTTGTAATTGTATGTTTGTGTTCACAGTAATAAATGAACTTCCCTTGGAAGCTTCCTAAAGCTCGGATTAACATCTCTCTAAGAAACTAGTACAGTGACCTGAATATAGATCCTTAATAAATTCTTATTGGTGGTGTTAAAAAGGAATTCATTAAAAATCGGAAGATTTCTGTTCAATTACTATCCCACCCAGTTGACTATGTAGAGGCAGAATGCGGGATATTCAGGGATCAGTGCGGTAGCTATGGTGCTCTTTGCTTCCAATGTAGTGAGTGGGTTTGAAGACCACAGTTGTTTGGAAAGTCTTCTGGCCTGGAGTTTCCTGAGAGTATGTTGTTAGGCATACACAGTGATCCAGCAGAGTTTTTTCCTCTCACATTTACTTCCTCTTGAATACTACCATATGTTGTCCTGAGATGCACTGTAGAACGAGCTAAGATGAGAAGTAGACACAGAGCTTGCCAAACACACCACTTCCAGATCAATCTTCACAGCTCTCTAACTGAGGTGTAATCACTGCAATCTTTTTTCTTTTTTTTTTTTTTTGCAATTGATTTATATTGTAATTAGGGCAGAGAAGAATCACAGACAAGGCCAAAAGTGAAGAAGTAGCACACATTTTTCATGGGAAGATTTCCCCCATAAGTCAGAGCACAAGACAGTATTAGAGAAAAAACATTGCAAGGAACTAATCATGCTCACTGACATGATATGGGAGAATGCTAAATCATCTGTATTTTCTGTTTAAATGTATATATTTCAGTTGATTAAAAAAGCACATGGTGAATTGATCTTGCAGCTTATAAAAGCAATATTTCAGCTTCGGTGTTTTTTATTCTTTTTTTTAATCAAATTATCTCCCAAAGCATTTTGACTGAAGTTTATTAACAAGGCAATGCAGCTATTAATGCTTCACAGTGCACTCTTGCAAAGTTAAGTAAGAGACATGACTTTTCCTATGCATACTGATCATACCTTCTGAAGGTCTAAAAGAACTAAGGATTGCATAGCTGAGTGGTTTCGAAGAAAGAAAATTGTTACTTTGTCTTTTTTTATGCAATGTTATTAGATTTTTGGCGGGGGAGCATTCATAGGAAACATTATATTGCTAGATTTTAACTGGTATTTCAAATATTATCAGATTTCCAGAAAAGTCAGTTAGAAATTCAGAGAGACCGAACAAGCTGCAGGTCTTTGTGCTGGAATAGAGGAGATTGGGAGGATCATGCACCTCAGGTGGATAACCAGGCTGCCTTTCACAAAATGTGGTGTAATATCATCTACGTTAACCAGGAAAATAATCACATTGTCGACAACATAACCAAATGATGAAGAGAAAGTGATGCT